ACATCTTATGAGGAACGAATTCTTGAATACTATGTGGTAAATGGTTGAGATGGACTTTGTAAGCCTATGACGTGTGCCGTCTCAGATTGCTGTTTCAATTCCAAGTCTTCTTGCATTCAGGAAACCTTTAACAGCCTTTGAAGATCTTTAATCAAGTTTTTAGTAAACATTCTTTGTACGTGCCATAAGATGCTGATATATATAAATCTTGCTTGCTGCTACACCGCCTTAATTATTATGTGCTGTTTTAAGGACTCTTTGTGTAGGAGCAGAAAACAGGAGAACAATGACTTTGTTCTTGTAAACTGCCAAGATAAGGAGTCATGAAATGGTGATCAGTGATTATTTGCCAGCTGTTGGTCGATTTTCTTGGTGAACTATGCCAAAAATATATCCTTGGTGTCTGACAAAATCAGACAATGGGTTACTGATCCGACTTTGTTCTAGTTGTAAAGCAAACTCCGCCCACCCTGTCAATGTAAAATAGAAACAGTGAGTGGGAACCAGTTAAATGTTAGGCTGCATCTAAATCTAATGTGTTAGAGTTTTGTCTAGGTCTTTGCTGATGTAAATATGTGGACCAAAGCTCCTGAAACCTATTTTACCCGTTTCACTTGTTTTCATTGCCTGATATCTCCCCACCCATTGGGACAGACTTTTTTTTTCTTTTTCTCCAAATGTTGCCCCTGCCACCTGTGTCCTTGTCAGTCAGTGCATACATGTAAGCAGCAAAGTCGTGGTATTGTATGCTAAGGTCCTCACTTTACACAAACAAGTCTTCATACCCATGTACACCTGTAAATTTCCAATGCTGGGGGAGCCAATCACACAGTTGTAGTCACATATACACTTTATCAATTCCTTTCTCAGCAATATACGTCTCAACTTTTTAAAACTAAGATGAGTTTTGTCCAGCTGTCTGTCTCACTATCATCAAGGAAGCAGCCTGTCATAGCATCAGTGTTCACAGTTCCATGTGCTTGTACATGTCCGCCTTGAGCAGAAGCACTCCCTCATCAGTTTAAAGGAGCCGTGTTGATCGGAAGTGTTCATTTTGTTGGTAGCGATGCGATCACAACACATACATTTCTTAGTGGTTCGTCAAACAGTGAAGTTCCCACCAAAGGAGCCTCCATTAGGAAGAAAATTGTGCCCTCTGTTGATCCAGCTCAAGGCATATTGATTCACAGAAAGTGTGTAAGGATTAACAGCTGGAGGGGACCAAAAACTGTGTATTTTGAATTTTTCAACCCCGAAATTGTTGAACTGATGTTATTTTAGCATTTCCTTAGATGTTTGCAGGTGGTTTATTGTAGCCAACTGACCTCAAATATTTTTCAAAAAAATGAGCATTAGAATTGCTTTGCAGCTTTCATGTCTGATCTCCTTCTGATTGTAAATTGTTATGTATACACAGTTCAAGTGGAAATAAAAGGTTAAGAACAAGTCATGACTACTTGCCCACTTGTATTTTAAGTCTGGTGTCCTGCACCCTTATATATCTTAATAGTTAAGTTTATGTTAAACTGTTTCATAGTCGACTTTTACTGAAAGGAACAGTCAAAATAGTTCTTTCCTATTCTTTGTTTCCTTCATAGGCAACATGGAATAACATACGATGAATAAGCTGCATAGAGTTACTTCAGTTGAAAAAGTTTTGGACAAATGAGTCAAATTGAGCAAACAAAAGAGCTAGTTCAACAATTTGAAAGTCATTGTAAATGTAAAATGTTGCATCAACCCCTTATATTTAGGAAAAATCAGAACAAATTGCTACCTTCATAATGGATGGGACATGAGCTGCTTCAATAGACAAAACTTCCATCTACAAGGAAACACCAGAAGTCCCCCCCTCAAAAAATGGACCACTCAGCTTTTTAACCAACAACCCCTTTAACTAAACCAAGTTGTATAACTATACCAGCTTGTTTAAGGCCTTTGTATCTGTATTTTTCAAGGGTGCACACTGTCAGTGCAGAAACAAGTGTAGCACATTTTTTGTACATGCATGTCTTTACAGATTCTTTGCTGTATTCACAAGCAGAGATTCAGCAAGGCAGGCATACAAAGGCTTTAAACAAGCTGGTATGGTTATACAAACCTGGTTTAAACCTGGTTTAGTTCTTAGAGCTAGTTAAATGAACTAGATGCATGAGCTAGTCAAGACCATTATTGTGTTCTTTGGACTTCTTCTTATTGAGGGAAATACGTTTAATGCAAAAAACTTGCAGATTAATGATACTGAGGAAATATTACTGATATTGAGGTTCATTTAGCTTTAAGGTTAATTGGATTATATCAATTTTTTAATGAACAAATGAAATTTGAATTTATCAAATTCTTAGAGGGAACATTTCCCAGATAGGTTTTACTTTTTACTACCTGCAACGTGAAAGTACTAATCTTTTTCTTTAAAGTATAAATCTGCGGTTGGAATGTTCAGGATTTGAAAAAAAGCTCAAACATGAACAAATTGGACCAAAACAAAACAGTAAAGTGATATTCAAAATTAACTGGGAGGAATTTATTATCATCAACATAAACACAACAAAATCATTCTTACACAAACTTTTGAGTTGTGCCAATTCAATAAAGTTCTTAAACAATTAATGCTTGATCAAATGATCATTCCGGTATGAAAAAAAAAGTAAAATTCAACAACTTGCTTTTGAGTTTGGGATGTTTACCTTGTTTGACATCGACAACAGCTGAAATATATAATCACTATTGGATTACTGTTTCTGTTTCTTCTCCCAGTAACAAGAAAATCATTAGTAACATTTGACAAATCTAATATTTTAGACTCTCTCAGTAATGCCATATTCCTTTTCACTTGAATACATTTAATTAATTTCATATATACACACAGATATACACCCCACATAAGTCAACCATAAAGCCTTGGACCAGATCAAAGCAGGTACACTCAACTAACAGACCAATCTACCTGCCCTCTTCTGGTTCCATACATGTGACAATTTGCAAAAATAGATTTCTTCTAGAAATGCTCATGTTTTTTCATTTTGTTTTGTTGTGATTTCAGCACTTCAAACCAACAGATCAAATCCCAAATTACAACAAATACTCCTGTCCAAAGGATGATTAATTCCATGTACATGTACAATAATGAATCCAGAAATGATTTCCACTCTTTAAGTTTCTTTAGCCTCCTATTTAACCAGAAATAAATCCTTAAATGCTGACAAACTCAACTGCTTTCTAAATTTTACACAAGAAATCTATGCTTGAAATGCTTAGGAACTTTAATTCATAACAACCCCAGTTTAGTCACTGGGGTTTTCCAAATGCCGGCTTTGTCTCCAGTCCCACCTTTGCTTTATTTGTAACCCAAGACTTTGAAGTTTTCAGCTCAGCGAATTTTTTTTCCTACACATAATTTGCTCAGGAGTATTGACCAGTTTGCTAATGAACCACACTTAGATGTTTGTCCATTTAGTTTGGGCATTGCAGGCCTACAAACAGCTGCACACACAACAAAGCTGAATCCCCCCATTGCCAGAAGACAGGAGTTTACATTGAGGGCGCTGTTAATTAATCAAGCCTTGGGCTTAAAAGCCTATCTCTCCCTGGTCGTTAAAGACATTGTTTATGAAGGAGATATTATAGCTATTCCATTGGCTAAAATAGACCCCATGCAGTTGGTATTTTGTAACTTTTCCTTTAAAACGGCAAGGAACCACTGAAAAGTGAAGTGAAATCCCTCTATTCCAAGGATAAGTTTCCTGCAATCCAGCTAATCTGCCTATTTCCAATACTATGATTTCAAGCAACATTACACTATTCCATAATACGTGTATGTACCATCAACAACCCATGTCAAGTTCAAAGTACACATAGGTTGGCTTGTCCAGTTCTGAATCCTTTAAAATCTGTTGAACCTTGTATTGGGTTTTAATAGACTTGGACAGAGTGACAAATAAACAAACATATATACACGACAAACTGTTTGCAACTGTTTTTCAAGATGTACTTTGTATAGGGGAAGATGTTACAGGTTTTGCCCTTACCTGATGTATACATTTATAAACACTGTATATATTCCCATTAGTACAGGCTTGTATGCTATATAGAACAAAACTTTAATTAAAAGCTTACAGAGCGCATTCATTGCATTGCACATTTTCAACACAGAAATCGCAATTTACTTAAGTCATCAATGCCTGCAGAAATATTATCAAGCAAATTAAACCAAATCTCTAAGAATTTTTCTTGTGAAGAAATTGGACTATAACACATGGCTAACAGCAAAAGCTTTTCCTTAATAAATCTAACAACTAAAACAACATAACTGAGTGGTTTTAATATGTACAAAGCTATGAATCTATCGCCATTGAATAAATAGCATTTAAATACTAAGTCAAATGTTTAACAAAACAATGATCTGTATTTGCAATCACCAACTCTGAGGGAGTGTATGATGAGGAACACTTGTGGCATTCTATACGGAATACTGACTGATCCAAATGAAGATTTCTCTTCCGACATCCTGAACACTGCATGGGAATGTAAGCCACAGTGAAGAATGCCAACTTCTGAACTGACCAGTTCTTCCAAAAGGAAATAAAAACACTCCAATATCAAAGATAAGACAGAAAAAAAATCACGTCAGTTAAAAAGTTGCAGCCCACATCTGTAGTTACACCGAAATATATATTATTGACACTGTACTTTTCAACTCCCTAGATTTACAAAATATTCAATTTCTCACAAGCTTCCGTTTACAAAAGATATGAGATAATTTGTCTTTGTACAACGTTGAGACAAATGTTTCATTTCCGTGTTGCCAGATGGCATTTAGAAGGCACCAGAATAAATGATACTGATTGCCAAATGATACACAGCAAATCACTTTATCATAAATAACATGTAGGTGTGGATCCTGACCCTCCCTTTCCTTAAAAGAAATCAGAAAATAAAACTCCTTAGATCAATCTTTCAAGAAACCTGTGAAGAATCCTTGAAATCAACTCCTCTCACAAGTAAATTGACAACATTTAAAATTGGCAACTCACTACTCTTTCCTGTCCATGATTTTTGTCTCTGTTTCTGTAAATGCTACCATGATTCATAAGCTATTCAATGCAAACTGTGTGGCTCTGCAACAAAGCTTCTACTTTAACCAAAAAACAACAAAAACCTTTACTGAAAGAAAAAACCCATGAATACAATACCTTCACTTTTTTGGGTTGAAGAAGCAGTTTTCTCGCAATGTCTAACAGTTTCTCATGATTTTTTTTTTCATTTATGCTGCATCATAATGCCAGCTTTGAGTAAGCTATGACACAGCTTCTGTTGAAATCACAGGAATAAGATGAGGGCATTGGTCTACCCCATTGCAACAAGGTTCAACTCCCTCATTCATTAATATACAATGTAAAACAACTTGAATAAATACTGATCATCTGATAGGTGGATAGTCACTTGAGTCATGAATCATTCATCACACTATGGCTGTACCGCAAGAATGAAATGGAGCGTTCCATTCTGCAGGTATCCAGCAACAGTTGCAAGAAAGTTCCGAACTCACAGGTTATTCAGGGAATTTATTCAGGATTATTCAGATGTTGCATAAAAAAAATAATGAACATATTTCATCCTATCAGTGAAAAGAATAATTTCATTCCGTGGCAGATGAATGTTCCATTCCATCTATTACCTCCTGAAATTATTGTTACCACTATACTCAGAAACAATCATTATTTGTATCATCTTGATTGACATCAGGATATTTAGTGATGTCCTTACAATTCCACTTCATCATTAGCTTCGGCATCAGTTGCTGTTAGCATTGACATATCACTCTGCATAAGGCTTTGACCTCGCAGGAACCTCGCTAGGGGTGTGCCAAGAAACGATCTCCGATCCCCACCAATCAAGCTCAGGTCACTTATTGAGAAAGGGAACGCTGACGTCAGGAGGCCTTGGTTTCTGGTGTTATCCTCATAGGTGAAGTACAACCGACTTTCTCGCTTGGGCCGGCGCACTACGTCATTCATCTTCCGGGCTCGCAGCTGATCAAGCTTCTCCTTGAGTTGCAGTATCTCATCCACTACTTGGCAATGTTGCTTGTAGACTTGGGGATAACCCCCACCAACGATGTGGGCACTAGGCAACCAACGCAGGTAACATTGAGTCCAGAACTTGATAAACGGTGGACCAGTCTGTGGAATGATCATGTTAGGATCTAGCTCCGATGAACGGCTATTTCCAGTGGAATTGGCTCCGTTGATGTTAAGGTTTTTATCTCGTAAGTGAACCGGCGTGGACAGTGCAGAGTCATCCTGGGATTTGCTACCATATTTGGCATCCAGTATAGTCCGTTTGGCCGTCCGGGCTCTGAAGCGATACAGCGCTGGATTACATCCTTCCATGTGATCTACTTCTTTCTGTGAGGACGGCCTGAACCTTGGTACTTTCTCAGCCAGGATCTGCTTAGCAATGTACATAGGATTGTTGAAGAGGGCTTGGTCCTCTCGACTGTATTGTAGAGACCATGCCCAGACCGTGGCTAACCTTATTGGATTCTCTGCATCCTGCATACATGTCCGCACTCGCTGCCTCTCGCCATTGAAGAGGAAGGTCCCAAAGATGCCAGCAAAGGTACTGTCCCAGATGGTGATGAGGTAGGTATCGGTGAATTCAAAGGCAGAAGGAAACTGTTGCATCATTTGATTGACGCAATCCAAAAAGAGAAGGAAAGTAGGAGCCTGCAAAATATAAAAAAAAACAAACACAGAGAATAACAACCATCAATAAGCACCACTCAGTTATCCGAGTTCCTCTTAGATACTGTTATACATTTTGTGTTTAAATGAAAGTCACACTCCACAAAGCTGCTTTAATAAAAAAAAATTGCTTAGATACTTTCATGGTAAGAAAGAGCTTAGCCGAAGGTCAGCCATAAGCATAATACATTGCACAGCAGTTTAGCTGGTAACTGGTTTCACTCTTCAATAGCTGTAGCAAATATGCACAAGTTTGTACTGTTAGCTTGGCATCTAACAGTGAAATGTCACAGTGTTGGGATTTGTTGATATCACCACTAAACCTTTGGTTCTAATTGCTGAATTCAAAAGTCCTTAAAAATACAAAATACTTTTTTATATACAGTGAACATATATGTACAGTCAGTCACAAAAGTTTAGGGTCACCCATACAAAATGTATTTACCTAAAGAAAAACCAAACATAGACCAATTAATCATGGTTACACAGCTATTTGACTACATTTCCATGATTTGAAATGTTAACAGTCCAACACTTAGTGTGTCCTCCAGTTTTTTTTTGATGGTTTAGACTGGATTTTTTATTCATGCTGCATTACAGACAAAATGTCATACCAGACCTGCCTTCGCAAAGAATTCATTCAAATGGGCTCATAGCACTATTCCAATGTTATGGGCCACTATAAAAAAAAACATGTTTTTGCAATCATTCAATGAGACAATGTAACGCAGGCCCAACGACAGAAATACCAACAAAATGACAGGTGGTCTTGAACTTTTACAAATGACTTACATGGATATAGGATGAGGGTATGGCAGACAGTGAGATTTCTTAGGGTGCTAGAGAATACTTTCATGACAATCTTCATTTAGTATTTTCTTGTTCAGTGTTTTGAGTTCATGTCATGATCTGGCTGAATGTTCTGACCTCTTCGCCGTCATTGGGAGTGAGATGACCACAGCGTTCTAGGAACGGATGACCAGCAATGACCCATTCTCTCTGAATCAGGCTCTGGAATCCAAGCTGAGTACGGCAGTATGGATCCAGGATAATCTGCACCAGCGATGATACAATGCAGGAGGTGTCACGACCGTTGGGTTCTGAAATGTCAACCGGAATCGCCACATGCAGAAGGGATATTGTGAGATTTAAACATAAATCCTAAAATAGAAGTAATCCTGGGCATGACAAGAAGCACTGGGTGAGCAGACACAAAGTTGAGCGTGGATAAAAATACTAATTTATAAATAGAGTATACAGCAGCACAGCGCTGTCATGTTAGATCTGAACAACTGTGACCTAATGGTGTGACTTTTGTGCCCTTGATGAGTGAGACAATTACAACAGTTGCTTCTCGTTAATCCGATTCCGCAAAAGTAGAGTAGAGCTGGTCAAATAAAATCACCTGAACATGTGACGTCTGCTTGGTTCAACAGAATCTAACAGCTGAAAAAAAAGATCTCACTACACCAAGCGGTACACGTACATGAATTGTAATTTTGTGTATCTACTCAGTTACAAACATACTAAAATTAATCTAGGAATTTTTACATGCACAAAAGTTTCAATTCAGTTTGTCCTTCCACATCAAGTCCATTCATCTTGAGCTTCTAGCAGGATGTCAGTCTCATCAGATCCATGAGTCATAGCCCTTCACCTAAGCCCCCAGCAATCCTTATGTCAACTTCTGACCGATGGATAAGACGGTTTGGTACGACCTACTTGTCTCTGTTTGCTTTCAGACGATCTCCGGATGTTGTCTGTCGGCAGGGACTATTCACAGCTGTAGTCGCACAAGCGACAACAGGGATTCTCATAGGATCTATTTTAAATGTAAGCTTTGGCTGGGCCCTTTAAATAGCACTTGGCTTGCCAAGGATTACAAAAGTCCAAGATTTAACGCTTCTTCCATAAAGTGTCAGCAATGAGGCCCTGCTTCATTGTAATTCACAATAATATGCTTATAGGGTCACTTCCATAAATACACACACACACAGCGATAAAGCACAGTTTGTATACAGCTGTCAGACTCATTGATAGGCCAGCAGCTTCACAACTATTGGCTTGAGAGACAAATTACGCATGAAGTCAAGTGTACTTTCACATGTCAGAATGTTTGCAAATCCAGATGTTAGAACTCAGACCCAGAGAAAGTCTAATGAATCCTGAATATACCAGGACACAGCTACAGCAGAAGAAGATTTTCCCCTAGGTGGGACAACTCATAAGATTCATACCATCCACAGCTTCACAGGCAAACTGTCTGAGATGTCATGCTATTTGATAAAATATGTCTTTCATTATTAAATATGCTGAGTCATACATCAGATCACTGCCTTTAAAGGGCATTTCCCCCTTAAAAGAGATTAAGTACTGAAAGCTGGGGGAAGACAAGTTGACTGAGACTTGAGAAGCACTGTGACATTTAGTGGGTTGTGCACGCTGGGATATTCACCGGGGCACATAATTAGGCACATAAGTAGGATTTGAACTTTTAAATTGAGATTTCCCAGCTGCTAGAGAGGGCATCAATGAACTGATGTTTAAAGGGTTTTAAATGACATAAACAAAGCATTTCTATTGTTATGGAAAATCACACTAAAGCACTTGTCTTATGCAATCAAGATTATCTAGACAATGCATCACTGGATTTAAATGAAGTCTTCTAAGCTTTGATTTGATACCAACCCCCCTCCCCCAACTTCTGACAACTATTCTGAGAGAAAATAAATGTTACTTTGGGTTGCATTTGTGTGGGCTGGGCAAATTAAGTTCTTGCTTACCTCGTAGCACCACTGTCTGTTCATTCTGACAGATGGTAGTTGCCGCAGTCACAGCCACTGACATACACATGCTGGTCAAATGATAGAAACAATAGGAAGATGAGTCAGCGGGGAGGTAATTACAGGTCAGACTAAGTAATGGTATCCTCCCTCTAGTGTATGAGATACACCTGCCGTCATTGTTTGGATTTCTAGTTCAGAGGAATGGGGAGAAGTCCTGGAGTTGATTGCAACTGATTTTTTCAGTAAGTGAACAGTCAGTTACGTGAAGCATGTTGCTGTGTGAACATTTATGATTATTTTATGAAGAATTTGTGAACAGAAAGCTCAGTGTAAAATGTAAAAATACCTTTACTTTAAGAATCTGAAGGAATGGATAAACCTTTTACTATGAGTCAGAAACCTTGTTCCCCATAAATCTTCAGGGGATTCCTTGTAAGCATGGCCCAATTACTGTACCTTATGTTCTGCATCCATTTTGTAGCATCTAGGTTATTGTACCAGTCTTTATCTGAGTTCCAGAATTCTTTCAGATTCTCTGTAAGATAACAAAAACAGACAGAAACTGAATATCCTGAAAGAATGCTGTCCAGCCAAGAACAAAAGCAACAACCATATTTTCTTGCCCATGACTCATTTCATTCCCAAACATCTCAACACATCCCCCGAGAATACCTCAGGGCAAAAAGTGGTTCAAGTTTCCAGTTTCTTGACTCCAGTTCACACATCTCTTTTTATTAAAACTTCATCCAGCAGTGTTGAAGGTTAGACTCCATGATCACCAAGAGACCACCAAGACCATCACAAAACCAACACAAGATCCCACAAGACCTTCATAAGACCATCACAAGATCCCACAAGACCTTCATAAGACCATCACAAGATCCCACAAGACCTTCACAAGACCATCACGAGATCCCACAAGACCTTCACAAGACCATCACGAGATCCCACAAGACCTTCACAAG